GCACGCCTTTAATCCCAGCACTCGGGAGGCAGAGCCAGGCGGATCTCTGTGAGTTGGAGGCCAGCCTGGGCTACCAATTGAGCTCCAGGAAAGGCGCAAAGCTACACAGAGAAACCCTGTCTCAAAAAACCAAAAAAAAAAAAAAATAAATAAATAAAATAAAATAAAAAAAAAAGACAAACCAAAACTGCACTCTAGAGTTTACAAAAAGTCAGCGTGCTTGTTTCCTTTTACATAAGGAATTCTCGCTGAGTGGCCAGCACAGCAGGACAGAGCGCATCAACACTGTTGGAAGTTAGCTGACATTTCTGCTTGTTTTGTTGCAAATTCTCTCCTAATCCCAAACCCAAATCCCAAACCCATTTAATGACTTTTTTTAAAAATGAAAGTCAAGTCAGCAACTCCAATAATTTTGAAAATCGAACATTCTACTCTATGTACTATAGTGGAATCCCAAAATAGACTGATTTGATAATTCCATGGTGAGAGATTCCAATAGGAACACATTAAGGCTTTGTTTACTGTAACTGAACCATTACATTTCTACAGGAGCAGAAAACGTAGCCAAGTGTGGTAGTACACACCTTCAATCCCAGGCAGAGGCAGGGGGATCCCTGCGAGTTTGAGGCCAGCCTGGTCTGCGTATAGAGTTCCAGTCGAGCCACAGTGAAGGATGAGACCTTGTCTCAGACAAACAACAGAAAGTGCTGTGTGCACAGTGGAAGCACTTCGAGTCACGTGACTCTCCAGTCTCGCAGGGCTGTTTGAGCAGCATTTGTTGCAGTGGGACGGTATGCAAACTGCAAAGTGCATGCATTGAATGGTCAGAACCAGGGCCGCAGCGAAGTTTCGAGACGCAACACAGATGAACACCGCCAGAAACACTTCAGGCTAATTACACGTTCGGCTGTGGGGATTGATGCTGTGACTGTTTTTTGGAGACAACAGGATCTCTAATCACCCAGGTTAACCTTCTACTTGCTATGAACTTGAAACTGGCCTCAATTTTCTGATCTTCCTGCCTTCACAAGTGCTACGATTACAGGCATGAACTACAGCGAGATTGCGAATTTGATTTTCAATTAATTTTGTCGTTGTGAATTCAGAAACCTTTTACCATTAGCAAATAGCTCACAGCCCTGACACACAGCTGTGTGACAGCACACACACACACACACACACACACACACACACACACACACACACACACACACACACCCCATACGGGTTTGCAGCACCAATACCAGACGCTAGGGCTCAGAGAAGCAAAGATTTATCCTGGCTGATCATTTCAGAAGCATAGTCCATGGTCGCTTGGCTCTGTTTGCGTTAGAGCCCATGCTGAGGAGAACATAGTGGCTGAACGGAGCTCACTCTGTGGTAACAGAACCCCAGTGAGGTTAGTATTGCTGTTAGCCTCATTTTTGCACTGGGAGAGTGGAGGGATCCCGATATCCCCTTCCAGGGCCCATTGCCCATGATCTAATTTCCTCCTGCCAGGCCCCACCTTCTGAAAGTCCCACCACCTGCCAATGGCACTACAGGCTGGGAACAAGTCTTCAGTATATGGGTCTCAGGGGACACATTTAGGAAACGAACCCTAACATCTCATGAGGCACATCCATCCCTTATTCCACTGACCGCACAACCCAGACATTCTCTGTGTGAGAGGGACTGAACAGGTGTGCACATGCCAGGGGTAAGGGCACTGATGGCCATCTTAAAGGTGGCTACTGCCAAGGGCTGTAGTGGATGTGGCTGGATTCTGAACAGTAATGTGTTCCAGGAAGTATGTAGAGAGAAAGCTGGTCATTCTCCCTCCCTCGTCACTTGCCACTTTTCCTCCTCCTTCTCCTTTCTCCATAGTCACCCAATCAGATTAGTGCTGCCAAATGTCCCATTTCTCCCCTGGAGGAAACTGTCGCTTAGAAAGCTTAGGCCGCTTGACCAAGATGATGAAACTCATAGGTGGCAGAGCCAGGTCAGTCCAACTGCAGAGGGGCCGATTCCTTAACATCTTCCCAGGTGAAAAGCTGAGGCACAGGGAGAGGGAAGAGGAGGGTTTTGGAGATTCATGTTGACATTCTGAGATCCCAGTGTGAAAGCAGGAGACCCTGTCTTTCTCTGTAGACTTGAGGCTGTGGATCGGGTAAGGGTGAGGATGGGATGTGGATTGGGTAAGGGTGAGGCTGGGATGTGGATCAGGTTAGGGTGAGGATGGGATGTGGATCAGGTTAGGGTGAGGGTAGGCTGTGAATTGGGTTAGGGTGAGGATGGCATGTGGATCAGGTTAGGGTGAGGATAGGATGTGGATCAGGTTAGGGTGAGGGTGGGATGTGGATCAGGTTAGGGTGAGGGTGGGATGTGGATCAGGTTAGGGTGAGGGTGGGATGTGGATCAGGTTAGGGTGAGGCTGGGATGTGGATCAGGTTAGGGTGAGGCTGGGATGTGGATCGGGTTAGGGTGAGGCTGGGATGTGGATCGGGTTAGGGTGAGGATGGGATGTGGATCGGGTTAGGGTGAGGCTGGGATGTGGATCGGGTTAGGGTGAGGCTGGGCTGTGGATCAGGTTAGGGTGAGGCTGGGATGTGGATCAGGTTAGGGTGAGGCTGGGATGTGGATCGGGTTAGGGTGAGGGTGGGATGTGGATCGGGTTAGGGTGAGGGTGGGATGTGGATCAGGTTAGGGTGAGGCTAGGATGTGGATTGGGTTAGGGTGAGGATGGGATGTGGATCGGGTTAGGGTGAGGATGGGATGTGGATCAGGTTAGGGTGATTGTTTCAATGGGATTGTTTCAATGCTATGATGGAACTCTATGAAGTCCTGTTAATTAGCATGCAAAGGATACAGGAATTCAAATCCCTGATGGCAAAGAAACCCTAGAATATCTACTATGTGATAAACAGTCTTCACTGGACATGTGGAGGCAGCTTGCTTCTGAGCCATGCAGAGTTCATATGAGTTATGATATCAGCTAACAGGATTTCCCGGATCACGGTCTTTGTTCAGCCAACCACCTAGAAGGTCCAATTCATATGGGTCCCCTCCCAGTTGCTTTAACAAAATACTGGAAGCTAGATGATTTATTAAGAAGATGTTTAGGGACCAAAGGAATGCCGTAACAGGTAAAGACACCTGTCATCAGGCCTGAGCACCTAAGTTTGATTGCCAGGACCCACGTGATGAAAGGAGAGAAGCAAAACTCACGAGTTGTCCTTTGCCTTCCAGATAGGCGCTGTGGCCACTCCCAGGAAATAGATAAGTGTAATGAGAAATAGAGGATTGGCTTGACTTATGGTTTTGGAAATTTCTATCTATGCTCATGTGTGTGTAAGGATCTGGAGCAGAGTCCTTCACATCATGGTGGTCCAGAGGCAGAACGAAAGAATGCCTGTGGTGGGGGCTCTCTCTTCACCCCACTTCTCTGTTGATGCACCCGGTCTGTGGGATAGAGCCAGATACTCAGGGCAGGTCTCCCTGCCATGGCAGCCTCTCTGGAAATTGACACACACACACACACACACACACACACTTTACTAATTTAGGTGCTTCCAAATCCTGTTAACCCTACAACCAGAATTAACCATCAGAGCAGAAACCAGATGCTTTCCTCGCAAACAGATAAGGAAATTGGGTCTGGAATGACTTCCAAAGCCCTTAGTGTGGCAGGGTGGGGAGCCCACAGGGACTTAAGAGGTAGGACTGACCTAGGGGAGTTCTTGGTAAATGTATTGGTTGCTTTTCCTTGTAGCTGTGACAAAATGCCTGATGGCGATGACTTCAGGGAAAAGGGGTTTAGCTGGGCTCTGTGTTAGGGGCCCTTGTCCATCATGGCAGGGAAGGCATGGCTTTGGGGTTCCAGCCACGGCAGCAGGAGCTTGCTGAGTGCCCTGGAAGGTCCCAGCTGATCAGGACACAGAGCCGGACAAGAACTAGAGGCAGACAGCACATTTAAGGCAAGCCCAGCATCAGATTTCAGCTAGCTGGGCCTCCAAAGAGTGCCACCAGCTGGGTACCAAGTGTTCAAAAGCGTGAGCCTTTGGCGACTTTTCACATCCAAACCCTCACAACAGGGATTGTGGAACCCTGGCCTTTTCTCTCTTTCGTTTTTTTGGTTGTGGTGAAAGGTTTTGCCCAGCACCCGCTCTGCTGTGGTGGGCTGCCTGCTCCCGAAAGATGAAAAGCAACAGGTCCACCCAGATCATGAACTAGTTGTGTGTGTGTGTGTGTGTGTGTGTGTGTGTGTGTGTGTGTGTGTGCGTGCGTGCGCACACATGTACCAGTGTGGAGCCCAGAGGTGACAATGAGTGTCTTCCTCAATTGCTGCACCTTATCTTCAAAGCAGTGTGTCTTGCTATTTTGACCATATAACTGGACATTGAGCCCCAGGGACCCTCCTGTTTCCATGGTCCCAGCACTGAACTTACAGATCGGGTGTTGAGAGTTCAAACCCAGGTCTTCATGCTTGCACAGTAGGCCCTTCACTGACTAAGCTATTCCCCTGTCCCTAGAATCCTTTCCTCTCTTAAAAGAGAATCTCTGTCCCTGTTGAAATCTAAGCCCCGTTTTCCCTCTGGAATCATGTAACGGTGTGATCTGTCTGTGTGTGCTCATTACACCAGTGCCCTCAAGGTCCAGCCACACTGATGCATGTGACTGTAGAAGAGCAAGTCAAGTCCTGAGTGGATATATGTTGTTGATATGAGCTGGCCACGTCAAGGATCAAAGCCTCAGACCCATAGGAAAATGGCAAAACCTTCCCCAGGCCAGGCTCGGGAAAATGGTAAAACCTCCCTTCCCAATTTGAGTGTGTCTACTTTTCAACTGCTGTGACTGTTGTAGTCCCCAATAGCAACAAAATCCTTGAACCTGGTCTGCTGGCCAGCCCGAGTCTGCTTCTGCACTGGCATGATATTTAGAACCTCATCCTTTAGGGGTGCACCCAGGAAAAGAAATCAATAATCTTGGCTTCCTTAATGGGCAGGGGGAACAGGTAGATCTCCTCCAGGGACTTGATCTTTATGTCTATAGGCAGTCCAGTTTGGTGATGGGGATCCATTCCTTGTCTTAGGCCCCTAAGACTGCTGCCAAATCCTCCATGGAAGCCACTGAGTCCTCCTGATACACTGGTGTCACCTGCCATTTGGTGGTGTTTTTCCCTAAGAAGAAGAAGAAGAAGTGAGAGCATACATCTTGAACTGCAGCCTGGAGGGCCTTCTGGACCCACTTTCCTGTCAATATGTAAGTTTAAACCAAGCCTCTATTGTTCTATTTACCAACAAAGACTTGGAAGTCAGATGTGGGGCATGAAAACCTGCTAGATCAGAGAAGCTGAGAAACAACCAGCTGACCTTGCTTTTGGGTCAGAGACCTAGCAAGAAATGTATCTTTTCACTCAATCCAAAACCAAAAGAAGTGCCAAACTCTAGTCCCACACTTTCCTTCCTTTTTGTCTTCTCTATCCAAATTCCTGGCTTCTCTATGACTAATGCTGGTTAGCTAGTCACTAGCTCTGCCCCTGATTCAAGATTAACTTTATTAACAGTCTCAGAGTGTCACAGTGTAATCAAATATCCTGCAGCATTTCCCCCTTTTGTCTAAATAAAAAGGAAAGGTTTTATTCTAACATAATAAAACTATATATGACAAGAACAATTATCAGGTAAGAATTACATTCACAATATTCAATCCATTTGTATTTGGCAAATTCAGAGAAAATACTATTTTTTAGCCTATCTTGATGAATCCAAAGTTATTGGGGTTTTTTGGTTTGGTTGGTTTGGGGGTTTGTTTGTTTGTTTGTTTTTTGTTTTTGTTGTTATTTTCCTAAACCACTTTCTATTATAATTTCTATTATCAGGCTAAAATTATCCTTTTAGACCTTAAAACATTTTATTAAATAAACAGCTTAAGCTTTTATGTCTCTCAACTTTTATAAACTTTACATCTTTTTTGTAAGTTTCCTTTTTGAATCTGGTAACAAAAGAAAATGATAAAACTCAACTATCTAGTCTTAACTCCATCAGAGACCCAAGGAGGATAAAATATTACCTGAGTAAACAGGAAATCCAGAGCCAGATCTCATTACAGATGGCTGTGAGCCACTATGTGGGTGCTGGGAATTGAACTCAGGACCTCTGGAAGAGCAGCCTGTGCTCTTAACTGCTGAGCCATCTCTCCAGCCCAGTTCTGAGTTCTTAACCCAATTGTGTTTTCCATTGTTGCAACAAATCACATCCCCATAAATTCATTGCTGTTAGCCACATATGGTTTTAATTTTCCTAGTTGTCCTTCTGGTCATATACTCAACTCATCTTGTACTTTGTTTTACCTGAGATAAAGTTCTAATCCCAAGAAGCTGAATATTTACCTCCTGAAGAGGTCAATCAGGATGCCCAAATTTTGATGAAATTATTGTTACATATGCTCCTGTGTCTACCAATCCCTCAATTTTGGGGCCATTTATTTGTATTTTTAGCTTTGATCTCTGATCATTTATAGAAGTTTTCCAAAATGCTTGTTTCCTGGTCTCTCCTGAACTTTTTATCTGTTGAAGCTGTTCTGTCCTTGATCACATCCAGAGTAGTGTGGTTTTTAACAACAGCTATTAAGTCTTAATTGTTCTGTGAATGAGTTTTTTCTGATACTGATAGGGAATGATTGAACTAGATTTTATATTGGGGCTTGCAGGAGGCCCCTTAGAGTGTTTCCTGATGGCAAAGGGTTACCTTGCCTGTCCCTTATTGATCTACATTCATAAGTCTAATGCTGGCCTTTGCCACATCTTCTGTATACTCCAAAAAGCTGGGGCCTTCTGTTTAGATTATCTCTTGATAATCCAAACATTGTTTCTAGGGATACTTT